CTTTCGCTAAAACACGAGTTCGTATCGTCTAATGCATGTTTTTATCTGGAGCCAGCTTATCAGATAATACGACTATGTTTTGAAAGCTTCGTTACGTCGAATGGATATGTACGAATATACAGTAGGTATATCTACATAATGATATTATTTTCATTTTAGTAAATTGAGCAATTTCGTAGCAGTAATGGTAAATAATACACATATAATTTTGATATCATTACGGTATATGAAATTAAATTTATCAAAACATATTTATACCACACAACCAATACAAACATAGCCAATCAATATCAATAAAAAATATACTTATAAGAAAATATACCAACTTTATGATTTCGTGAATTCTCAATTATTATATCTTACGATATTAGCCTGATTATTATGTCTAGACTAGGGAACTCGCACAATTTTGTCTATTCTAAAAAGGAATAAATTTTCCCTGTTTTTGCAACATGTTGATGCTTTTATTCTATTTCTTGTAGCGTATTTATTATACAGTCTATAGCCATATGCGATAAATGAGCTATCCAACACCTAAATATTTTTTTCAATTCGAATTAGTAACTCCTGAGATAATAGCACAGTTTTTTAGTGTCATGAATTAAAATAAAGAGTATCAGTCTAGTACAAAATCTTGTACTAATTGCTTACTTATTTACGTCTTATACTCTAAACTGTGGTATTAAAAGAACTAATATTACAATTTAATAAATTTTATGTAATGGGAAAGGCAAATAAACTGATGGCCAATCTGACTAAACCGTCAACTATAAACATGAACAGCACCACGGATATCACATTATCATGTGACACCCGTGATGCAGTTACATTCTAAAAGACTAAAATGTCATACCTTTTATTCTGTAAATCCACCTTACAACGGAACACAACTTACAATAGCAAACTGCTTGGTGGATGTAGAGGAGCCACGCAGACATTGTTTTACAAAGTCGGTAATTTCATGAGTATTGATTATCATATGATTTTATTATTTATTTTTATTGTATACATACCTATTTTACTTTGTAACATTAATATTAGGGATATTAGGCATTAACCTATAAATTATAACAAATAATTATGTACAGAATTTCCTTGTTAAAACACGCTTAATTATCCCGTTAGATGTTTCATTAAACACAAAATTTAAGTTGGTCCTGAATGTTAGTAATTGCGTAGGTACACCCTTCTATAATCTAGGAGAATCGTAACAGTTCTCCTAAATATGATTTTACTATTAATATATCATTTTTCGATTTGCATGTAGACAGATGACAAATAATATTTTATTATAATTAGATCTAACATTGAAATCTTCAGCAATCAGTACTAATATTATAAATAATAATATACATAGAACAATACACACAGCGCCATCTAGTCCCAAGCTAAGTAGAGCTATCTAGACAACTGATATAAATACTTAAATTGTTTGTTGTAAGTACATTCACAATATACTTTGGAAACACCCAGACCTGGGGGGTAGGGGTGATTGTTAGTAATTTGGACTCATGAGCACATTACTATTAATATACCGTGTCAGGTTGACCTCCACGCGGTCCCCCTGAAACCATCATGATAAATTCTTGGTGAATTTGTCATGATGGGCTAACTGACCTGACTTCATGTTCATCTTATCATCCTCCACTGGTCCCCGTGTCAGCGTAAACCGTTAGCGCGGGCGGGTGCACCATTCCATTATCAACCCTCAAAAAAAAACACCCAGACCTGCGGGGAAAGGGATTGTTAGTAATGTGAAGTAATAATCATACAGGTCATATTGGTCAGGTTGACCACCAGGCACGTCCCCCTAGAATCTATCGTAAAAATCCTTGTTATTTTGCCACGATGGACTAACTGACCTGACCTCATGCTCATCTTATCATCATCTACAATCTGGTGCCAACGTAAACTGTTAGCGCAGTCAGGCACCATTCCAATCATCCATTAAAAACACATTATAGATTTACTATACAAATAACCAAATCAAATCAGAAGTACAAATGTTTATAAGTTTATACCGTGCGAGGTATGAAACCCACAACTATCGAAAAAAAATGTGCTAAACCACTAGATTACAAATGTGAAAAAAAAACATATCCTCACAACTTTAAACCCAATGTGGAGTATTTAGAAATATTATTAAAATATTGTTCCATGTATTGTTTACATTATTTTAGCTGATATGTCCACGCTTCTCTGTAAACGTTGAAATTCAACATAGAAAAATGGAGGCTACCGCAGCTGCGCCGCCGCCGTCTCTCGGAGTAATTTAATTTGTTATGAATGTTTTCTGCCTCCCGAAAGTTAGTCAAAAAGTAGCTTGTACAATGAAAATTCAATTTTGAGTGGTACGTATGTATGTATTATATTAAACCTAATGTTAAATGTAAAATGTTGCTAACATTTAACGTTAGGTTTAATAAAAATACGTTTTATTAAAAAACATAAAAGTTTTACATAGTTTTTTACCTACTGATACGTTCAGATAGAAGATTCAATCGCTAAGAATGAAGAAGGAATGTGGTCCTTCTTCATTCTTAGCGGTTAGAGCATTTTAAAAAAATTACAACATAATCCGTGCAATTTACAGAATGAAAGAACGAGTATTGTAAATTAACAGTAACCGCTAAAATATAGTGTAAATTCGCATTATATTTAAACTAACATTTAAATACAGTAACTAATATTATAAAGAGGATATTTTATTTTTAGCTAGCTGTACCCGTGACTTCATCCGCATTGAATTAAACTTTATTTTTCTAAAATAAAAGTGGTTTAATTTACTTCTTATTACATCAGCTACCTGGCAATAAAAGTCCATCAAAATCGGTCTAGCCATTTCAGTGATTAACCGGAACAAACAGACAGACAGACAAAAATTGTAAAAAATATTATTTTTGTATATGTACCGGATTCTTATTCATATGCTATATGCATGTAAAAAACTATTATATCAATATTACAAACAGATACTCCAATTTAATTTATATGTATAGATATGCTCGTAATGGATATACAAAAGAAACATATTTGACGGATATTAAAAATTCGTAAAATATATCTCTCTTATATTATAGTCGTTAGTAATATTACATTATATTTACAACTTTCAAAAGGTAAAAAAAATATTAAATCAGTCAGGTGTATTTTGTGTTCACGCATTACGTGTTGAGTAACAAAATAAATCACTCCTTAATGAGTAGAACCTACCAGTCTCTATGTTCACAGTAAATGTCACGAATATATACAATATTTATATCGAATGGACCCATGACGAAGGCATATAATATAATGTAAATAATTACTCATCTTTATCGTGGCTGCATTTTAAAAGATTTACAACAACAGTTAATACATAGGCACACTAATGACTCACATATAATCCAGTCCTCGGCTGGATTATTAATTACAATAAGTATTTTATAATTAAAGGTCTATGGTATGCCATGGATCTATGGATAGTACGATAGTTACTACGTAACCCATATTATTAAACAAGAGTTACGTATAGGCTTCAGTAGGTTTTCAATTTAACTGTTTTGTTTGCTTACGTATTCTACATATCTTCGTGAACTCCAAACAATGTGTTTAAAATTCTGAAAGAGGATATGTTAAATTTGACTTAATTTGTTTGTGGATTAATTCAGAACTGATCACTATGTGCGATGCAAATGATGCTACAATTTTAAAATTTTAAAATTTCTGTTATTATCACACTGCGACAATCTATTGACAATTTTTTTTTAATTTCAAAGGCAAAAGGAAAAAACGAATACCCACTGGGGGAATCCGCGGAACTACCGCCTAGTTCGTACATATACTTAATAAACCCATAATTTATTTATTAACTCATAATTATAATTATTATAATAATTGTAATTATCAACTGTATAATGTAAGTACTGGTAACTAACTATATATAATTGTTTGAATAAATTTCATAGACAATTTTTAAGATTTTGGCAACGAGGAAAATGGTATCCGTCGGTTTTATGCATGTACGTATCAAACATGACATAGATGTGAATTGCGGAGAATCATGTTGGTGTGGAAAGATACGAAATTGAAATTTTGTAGAAGAGAGCTTAATCTTTCATAAATCGGTAATGGCTTGCAATTCTCCAGGTGTTGCGCGCACTCATGGGCGACGGTAATCACTTACCATAAGGAGAGCCGTAGGCTCGTTTGCATGTTTTAAAAAAGTAATACATCCGTATGCTGAAATTTCACTGTCTCACATCGCATTGCAAAGCAACCTGCTAGCGGATAAAATATGTGGAACATTCTTGCTCATCCTACCATCTTTCACTGGTGTCCCGCCAGCGTATACCGTTAGTGCAGGCGAGTACACCATTACATTAAAATCTCTAAAAAAAACTATTAGGAGACGGGTACCCACGCAGAAGATTTTGTTCAAGGTCTCTCTCTGGAAAATCAGTAACTATTTCATATACCTACTTAGAGTTGGTTCTTTAGTTCATAACATCCGAGTTTAAACGTCTCCGAAATTTGCCCAAAAATTGTGTAAGCATTTAGAAGCCTACCACCTAATAAATAGTATTTCATTGATAGTGTAACTGGGAATAGCGGGTTCGATCCCTTCAAATGCGACAGTTACATTAACATACTTTTAATCTATAAATATAGGTAATTATTTAGTATACAAAAGAATAGTAATTAAAAGATGCAGTTTTTAAGCTATATAGTTCATTGTTATACATTATTAATTATGCGTTGAATTACTTCTAATTACATACCTACGTATCTAGGTTTATTTTTTCTCATAAAGAAAATTTAATAAAATGACTAAATACCTCCACATGCAAAACAGTATTTAAAAACGTATTATTAATAACACAGGTAATAAAATTTAATACCTATCCGTTGATATGAGTGGACATCAATACAGATAAACCTCCCCGACAATTTGCTAAGCCATATAAAACTTGCAAAAAAATTCTCGAATTCATCTGTACTAATACGGAAATCGAACTCACCGGACTGGTGATGTCACATAGTCCACCAAACACTGCCGTTAAAACGCATAATCCTTATAAAGTCTTAATACAACATACCAAATACGCAAACTTTTCTCGAAGTAAGGAAATGTCCACAGCGTATGTACACTGACATCCGTTCGCAACCGTTCGCGCCGTGGTACTGAATTTGTTAGGACATGATATCACTGTTTTAGTCTATCCTATGTCGTTCATAGCTTGTTAGAAATCTAGATACATATATTGTTCATTATTATGTTAATTGTTAGCTAATATAATGATATAATACTGAGTAAAAAAGTCAATGTATTGAGGAAAACGATTCACTGCTTCGAATTGTTTTCCAGTTTTGCCTAACAATCAATTTAAAACAATTTATCCTTCTTCATTATAAATAGTCGGGCATTATTTGTCTTTTATTATTAGTTGTATTATAAAAATACATAAATATATTCATAGATTATAATTTCATTTGCGGTAGGCAGAGGCATTTGTTTATTGCCATTGTGATTTACGTATCACTGTAAGTGATACGTAAATCTTCAGTGATGCCCAAAATTCAATCGCATGTAGCAGGAGACAATCTTTCTGTAAATACTTACAACCATTTTTTTATCATCAATAATTTTAACAATATTTTTGCATCTGGGATAAAATAATATTGTTAACGGTGTTTTCATTATTTGAAAATTAGTAAAGAATATTAAAATGACTATTGTGTAATCTGTACATTATGAGTTAAAAGTATTATGAGTAAGTAAGTACAGAACCAGGTCGATAAATTAAAATAAAATCAATATACTGAATAAAATATTTAATTTGCACAGGTTAGTTATTTTTTTCTTTAAATTTTTTAATACATTATAATGGATCCTCTTATTTCGTTAAGTTTAAGATTGAGTAAAGATAATTTTTAGAATAGCTTCATTAGCTCTAATTGAGATAAGTTTAGCGTGACATTTGAGATTATATTAATTAAAAGTTGAGACATTAAAATCTGTGCCTGAAATTATGTAATTGTAACCTAAATAAATTTAATCTCTCAAAAAGTCTTCAATTATACCCCTTTGGGGTGGCTAGAAAGTTTCAGAAGTGCATTAAAAGAATTAAAGAAGAAAAATTGTGCAGTCTGACTCTACTTTTTCCGTCATGCCGCAATTGATAGCGGTTTTTAATAAAACTCTTCAAGTTAAGACTTAAATAGGCAATCAAATTATTCGATTTGTCAATTAACGTCTCGCTCGTATAACAACTATAACTTTATGTTGTGACTTTTTACGTCCACTCGTCATGACGGCCTCGGTGGTCTAGGTGACACCGCTTTACTTCCGATGGTCGCGGGTTCGATTTCTCGCACGGTGCAAACATTTGTATTTATGAGTATGATTGTTTATATCGGTTGAAAACACCCAGTGTTTTCAATGTATATTATGTATTTACGAAAAAAAAATCAGTTATCTAGTAACCACAACACAAGCTCTGCTTACCGTGAGACTATATGGCGCTGTGTTAATTGTCCAGGGTTATTTATTAATTAAAAAACAATACTTTGGAAACTATGAATGCTATGAACAGTAGATAAACAAGGTTTCGTATTCCGAATACTTCCTTATTATAGGCAGGTTGTATCGGTGATACATGCTTGCTTACTAGTGCACAGAGCTCTTGATAAAACTGGCCACTAATGAAACATGTAGCCACTTAAAATTAGAATTTAGAAAAAAAGCAATTGAAAATAAGAACTAGAAGAAAAAGAACGCTCCTTATTTTAAAACAGTTATATTTTAAAACAAGAAAATTATTGAATTAATTAATATAATTGATTTTATTAAAATATACACTCGTAGAGTGCCTGACCACTAAACTGTATTACATACACAATACACATCGAGACGTTCCTTAGCAATGGTAAGTAGGTTCGGTGTTCTTTGCTTACTTTGGAGAGGTCGGAGAGTAGAAGAGTCTGGAAGAAGTTCTGCCTAGGCGACATCGTATTTCTCCTTCCTTTTCCATTGATTAATTTCTTTTCAGGAATACAGTCCACTCTCTATTTTTATTTCTTCTTTAAACGGATTCGTAATCCAACAGACAATATGGATAGTAAATGAAAAATATGCAGATGTATATTTTATTTTCTTTAATTACTTTCTTTAGAAAAATCAAGTACGGTACTTAGAGCACCGAAATTTATTTTTAGCTAGTTGACCCACGCAGCTTCGTCTGCGTCATACTTACTTGACATTTATCATTATGTTTCGCCCAATTTGCATAATATATTTTTAAATGCCTATATGTTATTCAGATATTACTGTAAAGTTTCATCCATTCAGTAGTTTTTGCGTGAAATATTAAGAAACATCCATCCATACTCACAAACTTTGCGTGGGTAATATTAGGAAGAAGTATTATATATAATAGACAAAATAAGTTTCTAAACTTGATCAGATCAGACCATTTGTTAAACAAAATTTTAGATTTAGTATTAAGTATTGATTGGTACCAAATAATAGTTCTGTATTATAATTCCATTAATCCACGTCTCAAACAGTTGGTTACTTTTACGGAACATTATTGTAAGTAATGTACAATACTTTTCGTCATTCGTATTGTTATTGAGAGCCGCTGGCTTGCAGCCAAGTCTAAGTTGAAGAAGTTTGAACTCAAGTAAGTTTGTATTATCGGTGTTTACGACAGTGTGTGCTAGGTATAATTTATGAGGCGATTTATGAAAATACTACCCACCTACGCTTTAGTTTCTCGTATTAAAACAGTTTCAATGTGTTTTTTGTTTGTTATCTACCTTTGCAATAGATAGATTTCGATATACTAGTAGTTAGTACAATATATTAGATATACCTACACGTTATATATGATCTGATGAGGTGTCACTACTTAGTTTCCTGTACTATCTAGGTAGTGAGTATACAGGTATAATAATTGAGCCACATTAGTAAGTTTATTTGATAGCTACAAAGCTCATTAGTAACGCGTACCCTCAACACTGAGTCTCAACGTAGACCTTACACTGAAGTCAAATCTACTTATTAGTAACAAAAAAAAGGTCTGGCTGTTTTCTATATATAATATGTATGTATTTAAGAAAAAAAATAACTATGTATTTGTATCAGTTATCTAGTACCCGTAACACAAGTTATATATACATAACTTGGGACTAGATGGCGCTGTGTGAATTGTCCTGAGAATATTACTATATTTTATTAGAAAAAATAAACATATAAAAAGAACCTAGTTTGATACCAAATTTTAAAATAATCCTCATGTTCTGGTTTAATTGACTCTACTGTTGCTATGTCCATTGATATTCTAAATATATTATTCAGTTAGCAAATACCTTGATTTTCCTGGTCTCTATATCCGCTTCATGATAAGTACCTATTTAATGTTCAACCGATTGTTTGCCATTGGATTACATTTTTAAGAGATTTGTGTGAATACAAATTGTCTAATAGAAAAGTTGAGTAATTTCATAATAATATACATAGTCAATTATGTGTAGAATGTAGTATGTACTTTATGATGAGATATAACGGATTTTTTACTTTAGCTCTGTAGGTACGTCAGAAGAGTTACAGAGGTAATTATTCTGACGTACCTACAGAGCTGCTCGGGATTCTTATATTATTCATTTCTTTTAAACGGTCTACACGACCTAAAATCAGAGGTTATATCGAACTGTACTCGTAAGGCCTGGATCGCTACCGCCAAGCTGATTTTACCCCAGCACTATTGTTCCGATATTGCTCCTGGTTTGATTATCATATGTAAGCCGTTTTGCTTGAAAAGTGGCGAGCGTTTGCGAAGGTCCTCGAATAGTCGGTGTAGATCTCTCCCTACCGAATGTAGTTCGGAGTATGATGAGCAGTCATAGGTACTTGCAAGCGATAAGCTCCTTCTGTGAAGAAGTTATTAGTAGAAGCAGGCGGCAGAGAGGGATCGGAAAGCTGATCCTTCCTTCCGTAGCACTAGTCCGCCGCAGAAGTAGAGTCCGGTCTGGAGACAGAGGCGTACCCATTCTGCCTCTCTCTATCGCCTCTATTTCCCCATTGGGGCCGAGGTGCTCGCCTTGAGGAAGGCAGCGCCCCAACTAATGGCCCCAGAGGCGTGTGCGTGTACCAACACTGTCCCACACGCTTCCCCAATTAAATAGGGCATAATAGATCACCCTAACAACGAGATGGACCCTACATCATCTACAGGGCAACGATCTACAGGGCCGCGAGGACACGTTAACAAAGAATGTTAACGTGTCCTCGCGGCTCTGGCAGTGGCGTTCGTAAGTACACCGTATGGTTTTTTAGTAGGTAAGAACACGTCCTCGTTACCCTTCCGACGATGAAATGAATTTTGAAGATTTTACCACAGTTAATAATTTTAATATGTATCTTATACTTACCTATGCGAATTGAATAAAATAAAACAGTAAAGATATTCAAAAGAACAGACACTAGCCTAATTGTATTACATTTTCGTCTGAATATAAACCAGGAGTAGGTGAACTCTACCTAAATTGGTCACTCAATTTACCTAATTAGATATTGTCTGGCTGGGAAATTGCGTTTTCAATTACTTACCTACATATTTCATATATTTAGTTCGATGTTATGATTTTAATAAAACAATAAATAACATGATAAGCTTTACATGTTGGTAATATAGGTACTGCAATAGCGCAGCCAATACCACTAAGTCCAGAAAGTATAAATATATAATACCTATAGGTTTGTTTTGTATTATGCATTATTAATGTCAATATTTATTTTTTATATATTTTTTAATATCCTCGACAATTTTCGTATATACCTAATGTTCTATGTGATTTTATGTGAATTTTGTAATGATGTCTGTTATTATAACGACGGCCTCGGTTGTCGAGCGGTTTAGCGCACCGCTTTACTTCCATTGGTCGTGGGTTCGATTCTTCGCACGGTGCAAACATTCATATTCATGAGTATGATTGTTTGTATCGATCTGGGAGTTTTCTATGTGATTAAAAAAAATGAATTTAGTATTTGTATCAATTATCTAGTACCCAAAATATACCCACTTTTTTATAAACTACTTTTACCTACTATCACATTTCATTCCATATGGTTGCCGATCCCATAGTAAAA